ACATTCGAGTCAAATTTACAAATTCTTTTCTTACCTTAATTCCCAACATCAAGTTCACATCCAAACTTAATATTCACATCTCTGGGCTTTGCATTTGGGGACTTCCCACTTTTTTCCCCTTTATTTTTGTGACAGAGTGTAATGATTTTAACCTCGGAAATCATGTGGCAATGAGCTAAGCAGCAGATGATACTAAATCTTTGGAAGCCAAGGCACCAAAGTGTTATATCAAAGAAAGCATTATAACTGATGGTATTATAATGAGGCATCAATGTATTACTATTACACATGTATATAGCAAATCACTTTCTTACAATAGAAAACTATGCATTATGAGAGGTAAAGAAAATAAACCTGATGATCATATTTTCCCAAATAGAATAGTCTAACAAAAGTAAAACATGTCAACCTTGAAACTTAAAAGATGCTTTCTGTGACAGGAGTTGTTTTATAATATTTTTTACTAGAAGTCCACTATATAAATAGCATTCTCAGTTCAGGGCCTTGGAGGGTAAATTGGACTATTTTTTTTATCATGGAGTTAGCAGCACAGACCAAAAAATAATTTAGACACACATATCTGAAGAGTGATTATTCAATTATAACTGTGGAAAAGGAAGAGAGTAAAAAATGTTAAATAATTTACTTTACTTTTGTTTGCTTGTTTGTTGCTATGTGCAAAGCTACACAATGGGCTATTTGTGCTGTGCTCAGCATGGGTATTGAAACCTAGTTTTTAGTGTTATAAGCCTTCAGACTTACTGCTGGGGTGAGGGTTTCACTTTATCACAAATTCAAAGTAAAAAAAATATTTAGTCCAAACCATTAACTTTGCTTATATTAATAACAAATGTAACACTGGTGAAGTGTTGTAGAAGCAAACAGTGCAGTCTAACCGAAAATATGAAATATAACCGTGAAACACATTTGATAATGCTAATAACGTTACCCTCTTATAACTTGCTAAATTTTAAATAGAAAACAACTTTACAATAAAGTCTCATACTATTGGTGATTATCAACCTCTTTTTTTTTTAGATATCATATTTTAAATGCCACAAATGTACGTGCAAAAAGTTATAGAGAAATACCTGGATAGTAACACAAAGGTTTGTTTTCATATATATATATAAAACATAATAAAAAAATAAGATGTAAAAATTACCAAACAAAATGTGTGGTGTAATGGAGAAAAGTGTATGAAAGAGACCTCAAAGTTAGTGGAGGAAAAATATATAAAAAGTTATATATAAAATATGATGTAACTCACTAAAAAAAAAGGAACTAGCACAAACACATGCTCAAAAGTTGATTAATAAGATGTAAGCCTACTAAAGATGAAATTGAGTATGAACACATGCCCAAAAGTTAAGTTATAAAGATTACGCCTACTAAAAGAAAAATTTTGTATATACACATCTCCAAAAGTTTTTAACATAAAAATAGATGTACACCAACTAAAGATGGATCCAGTTTGAATGACAACTTAGACATAAAAATGGCACATTACAGAAGTAGCATACATAAAACCTTGATCTAAAACATACACAATTAAGACATAGACCTTCTACATTGTGAGAAACATTTACAAAATATAAATTACTAAAATTAGTAAAATAAGATGTAGACGATCTCAAAAAAAAAAAAAATTACAATAAATCTCAGATTTTAATATTATTAAAAAAAGTTTGTTAAGCCTACAAGTTACTCCTTATTAGATGAAAATCTCCAACAAAATTATATTGTATGGAACAAGGACACCAAAGATGTACAAGAAAGGGAAATAAATCTTAAAAAGATATATGAAACACATACCCCGAAGTTTGATGCAGCAAACCTGTCGCTTGCCGAGACAGCTGATGATGCAGTAGTGTGTGCATAGTAAGCATTGATATTAGCCAGCAAGGTGCTCATAACAGCTGGAACACCTTGGCACATGTATTTAGTTGACAGACAATGGAAGTGACTATAAAAGAAAACAGGAACAAATTAGTGACTTGTTAGGCTTTAAAGAACAAAGAAATAAGTATTTGATATTTTAATAAATCAAGTACTTTGAATATAATTTCCTAGTGATGCTTACTAAAAGTCTGGTAAAGAAAACTCAAGTTAAGTGTAAGACTTCTAAAACAAAATATTTAATAGCACCTAATAACTAATCTGTGTTTTTGTCTTTGGTCTGGCATGAGTAACGTAAAAAATGTTTTTTCTTCTGTGCTTACGTCATTGCTTGATAGATTGATTCAATTCCATATCTCATTGCAAATTCATCCACAATTTCTTCAGACGGGTTGTCAAAGTACACTTTCCATGCATCGTCCTAAAGAAAAATAGTCACATTACCTTCTAGTATTTTCAGTTTGAAATTAAATAAATTGTAATCACCGCTAACTGTAAAAAGTATATATGTTTATA